AAAAAAAGACAATTCAACAATATAGAAAGTTTGATCATCTCATGATAGCCTAAATTTGTTATGCTGCATAGTGGAATAATTAATGCATTTTTTGGGTGTGTGAATATGAATGCAATATATGTAATATAAATTAAATACAGTTGCTGGAATGTTTCCCCTACAAGGTGTTACTATATTAGCATTTTTTCTTTATTACTTATTTTTATGGCAAAATGATCAACAGACATTGCATTTGTAGTCTAAAAAATAATGTAAATATGTGCAGTATTGTTCGAGTAAAAGTTTCATGACTAGTTTAATTTAGGGTATTTCAGAAGCTTGTTCAGACTTAATTACAGTACATACTGATGGAGTATACTATTATGTGCAATGCATGCATGCAAAATATTTAATATTTACATAATTGAAACAGAAGAAAATAAAGAAAGTTAAAATGGCTTATGAATGATTGATGTAGGGAATCTACTGATTGTCATGAGAATTAAGACTCAGTTATAAATAATTTGGGAATGTCATGGAGATGGAAATATAATCTACATAATAAATGCAATATATAGGCTTGAATGAATACAAGTAAATTTATATACACAAGAATTGTTAAAGAGGGCACAATATTTACTTGCATGATTGTGAATGCATTTCCAGATTATTTATCTATTCATTTGTCTATTTATTTATATATTTTTGCTCTGTCTGTCGTCCTTGTGTAGCAGAACTAGTCAAATTACTGATTTTTGTTGTCTGGCGACCATTGTTTATGTCATATATGTCATTCTTCCTGAAAATTGATTTGTTTGTTACCCTAGGTAATCTTCTCTCAGATATCTTCAATTCTCTAAAAATACCTGTAGTTTGACATTGATTGATAATGCTTTCAAGTAATGTGTCATTGCATGAGTCATTATTACAATTGTTATTGCATTACAGCGTGACGATACATAGCATTGGTATCATATAACTATTACATAGCCAATCAATTGCAATAATTCACATCAAAATTTAGCACCATTAATTAAAGCACCATGTTTTGGTTATTCCATGCAACATATCCAACCTTGTAAAATCCAATGAGATGACCTTGATGTTTTAAGTTGCAAAACAATATGTTACATTATGCTGAGCCAGTAAATTTGGGGGACGGGGATATTAACTGGTTTGTGAAGATAACAATAATACATGGTTAACTTTGCATATTCATAGGGTTTACAAAAAATAAACCTATCAAATAATTAGTCCCCGTTCGGACGAAGTCCGAAAACAGGGACTTATAATTCGGCCTCCGTCTGTGCGTCCGTCCGTACAGAGTCATATCTCAGAATCCCTTTGACCGATTCCGTTCATTCTTTGCATGTGCCTAATACTTTATGTGGGACATATGCACATGCAGTGGTTTAGTGATTCGATTCAAAATGGCCAACTGGCAGCCATCTTGTTTTTTGAAAATGTTGTATTTTGGACATGCTTCGTCAGTTGCCATTCAAACTTGGTACATAGATTATACATGTTAGGATACATGTCCATGACGATTTATTTCACAATTGGATCAAAGATGGTCGACTGGCAGGCATCTTGTTTTTTTTATGCGGTATCTTGGTCGTGCTCTGTCAGTTTTTATTCAAATTTGGCACATGCATGTACTTTATACATGTTAGGATGCATGTCCATGACAATTTGTTTCAAAATTTGGTCAAGGATGGCCGATTGACAGCTATCTGACTTGTTGGCCTTACTATTATATTTCCACAATTTATGTATCATTTTCATTCGTATTTGGCACATACACCATAATATCAGTGTAATCAGATCAAAGATGGCCGAGTAATGGCTGTTTTTATTTTTGACCATATTACTACTACTACACGGAACACGTGTTTTGATGTAAATAAACAATCTGTTGTAACGCCACTTGGCACTCAAGTTTCAAGGACACGTTCGCGACAACCCCTCTGCTTTAATATGACGAGCACAAAGAGAACTTTCAAAAAAATTAATGGGGACTGTGTCATTTTCAATGACTTGTTAGGATCTGAATTGCAAACAATTCTAAATTAAAAGCAATACAGGAAGTACCTTTCAGACATTCACAAAACAAAGATGTATACTGCAGTAACTATCAGTGAAAAACAAGTAAAAATATTCGGCGCCAGACACAAATTAGTAGTTCTCTACATGTTCATTTATGTAGTTTGTTATTCAGGATATTGTGTTAAATACCTGGAGGCAATGGAGAATGGATGAAAAACACGACACGCCAACCATGTATAATTAAATACAATGACTACTATGTTGGAGTTATTTCATGGGAGAGTGAGTGTTTATTAAATGAACGTTATTGCCTTTAAGGCTTGTCCTACAATTGCCAAAGATGCAGCAATATACATACATGCATGTGTTGGTTATATACCGCCATAATGGTTCCTCGGTTGCTATGTGAATGTCCACAACAGAGGGGAGGATTTTATAACTCTTAGTTTGTGAACCCTTAATTCATCATGAATTTCAGTGAATAGGCATACTTGTACCATGCCCCGGCCTAATATACAAATGTATCTTGTAAATGCATGTACCAATACCAAGATGTCTTTTTAAGCTAAGCAACCAATAAACCTGGACCTGTGTTCTTTGGTTGCAGAGTCTAAGTATTTAGAGTGCATTCAATACACCATTTTCCGTTCACTGCGAGAATCACGCGTTATGCGTGAAATCGAACGTAAAAACAGGACAAACAAAGGTCATAGCGTCGTAGTGGCGTCAAACATCGCGTGGGATTCGACAAACGCGAAGTATTTTGATGGACATTTCCATGCTTAATCATGTGCTGCCCACTTTTCATGATGGGCATTTTCGATTAAGTAAGGGTATTTCGAAGCAATATTCCTCTGTCGAAGATCGGTCGGTCGATGTGAGTTACGAAATAAAGAAATTCTAGTTCAAAATCAAATCGTTCGACTTTTGCGGCAGACGTTCGACGCGCGTCTTTCATACATCTCGCGAGATCTCGCAATTGTACGGAAAATCACCTATTTAAATTAACAATACAAAGTTATTTTTGGAAAATAATCTTTTTATGTGGCCATAAATATAAATCAAGTTCCCAAAGTAGTGTCCTGCTAGAACTTAAATAAACAGTTTTCATTGGCAACACTTAATGTTATTGCCTCATAAATGATTTTATATCTGAATCAGATGAAATTGTATTATGTTTCTGATTAACTATTATAAATCATGTGAGTATATCTTAAATTTTCAAAAACGCAACAAAAAAATGGTACTATCAAGTTGCTGTGAATACCATGTGATATACGATAAATGCCACAATTAATATGACTAAATAACCACGGTTATTGTAATTATATATGTATATTTTATTGGTAACATCAATTCAATGTAAGAATGAAACAAATATTCACCAGTCATTCTATATATATAATCTCGCCAATGAATATAAAAGCATATTGTATTTGTTTTATTAAAATATATTTAATTTCTAGTCTTCTGTATTATGGCTGTAATATCAATATAAAATGAATGTGTGATAATTAAGCATATGGTAATAATGGATATGCACTCTCACAAAAATGATAGATTGTAATTGTTTTTTTTTTAGGCATTTTAATAATAAAGTGTACTTTATATAAATTATGATAAGTTGTGCAAATGTAATTGCTGATGTTTGGTTATGTTGTTTTCCAACCTTGACTATTGGGGTGTCAGCATCTGGTCTACATCTTGTTATAATTACCTTGACAACAGTAAGTTATTATGAATGCCATAACGATCAAGCCCAAATAATGCATCTTATTTAGTGCTTACAGTAAAAGCCTAAATAAATAAATGAAAATACCTAGAATATATTCATTTTACAATGACTTAAAAATAGTGAAAGTCACCAGCGTAATTCTAATGCATTGTTTACCATACTTCATGTAGCAGAGATATTACGCCATATTTCAAATTTGGGGCTGAGAAATTCAAATATTGTTAATATTGCAATGCTTTCTGTTCTGAATTATTTCAAAAACTTTTTTTTTAAAAAGTGTAAAGAATGCATTATTTATTTAACATTGTGATCTTTGGAACCATTCTACAAAATGGCAATTTTTGGAAAAAAGTATTAGGTTAAATTTTCTTAAAAAAACATCTCTGTAATGCACAAAATAATTCTATTTTATTGTGCCATGGGACAGTAGCCTCGTGACTGTAAATAAAACCAATGAACATTGTCCTGCAATTTATAAAATACTTTCTCAACAATTGGAAGTACTTCTTAAATAGTTTTTCAATGTATGCATCCCGTGTGATATATGCGATAACGAACCTTAAAAGTACCTTTCACAATTTTAACAAACGGGATACCACTAACCCCACCCACCCATCACTCCACCCAAAAAAGAAAAAAAAAACTTTATCATTGAACATTTGTTAGCAAGGAATGTGTTAAGTGGCACGTTTGTATTTTTTTTTAGAAATAGTAAAACACAAGTGTAAAGCACCAGTTGAATGTAATATAACTGCGCTGTGGTCACATGACATTTCAACGAATGCCTGTAAGTGCGAACCGGTAATAATAGACTTAAACTTATTAATTTTACAGCTAAATGTTTAGTTTTAATTGTAAAATAAACAATCATCAGCTATTATT